TTCGGGCAATCTGCTGGAAAAGTGAATCAGGGAACTTGCAGGATCATGGTGCCTGTGCAAATACAACGTGTGATTATTAACTGGAGGAGATGCTGCCTTGATTTTATCACTGGAGAATGAGGTGCATCTGAAGTGACTCAATTTTTATTCATAACTTTTGACAGCTGTGTGTGTTACCATTAACTCCTTAATAAGCCATTGTTGCCATTGCTTAAAAAGCGTTTGGCTTTCCTGGGAAGACATTTGGGCCAGTAGAATGGGACTATTATATTCATATTGCATGTGCCTCCAGAAAGATTTTAGTTTACCAAAGACAATAGGTAAATGGTTTGGTACAAAAATAATCCCTGAGCATAACACTTGACTTTCAAGTCCTTGTTCCATGGTAAGCGTTCCAGCATTCATGTTTATTTTTACATTTCCTTTTGCTATTGTTTCCAAACTTCACTCTATAGTGTTGGGAGGAAGTAAAAGAAGTGACAACTTTCCTGACTTGGCTTTCTCATGTATAAGTCACTAGATGGTGCCATTTCACTTCTGTGGAATCGGAAAACTGTCTTACATATTATTTTTGGTAACAATTATTAGCTATGTTTTTAAAGTAAAACAATTGGACTTAGGAGTCCTTTTTTTGAAACTGTCACTTTTCTTTTTCTCAGACTGTGCAATATAGATGTTTTGATCAAATACAACTAATGTGCAAATATTTAAAGTTCTGTTCCTTTACATTGTCACCAACTTTTACTTTTATATTCATTTACATGTTTTACTGACATGACAATGGGACCTGACTTGATACAAACACGTATTTTAAACGTAGAATTGCTGGTGATGTGAATGATGAGGCACACATTCCTTCAGCTGAGGCAAAGTGCTTCCCATGCACTGGCAGCTGCTCTGCATTTCTGTGTGCTCAGAGCTGAAAAGAAGAGAGTCAACAGTGGCTCCTTTGTGTCCTGGGATCCCACAGAAACTCCGTGCAGTTCCAGGTAACATGGTAAAAGTTGTTCTTGGAACTGTTGTTTCCTAATTTCATGTGACAGAGCTGCATAGTCGGGTGTATTGTCCCAGTATTGTCCCAGCTCGGGTTCTGATTAAGAGTTAGGTACAAGTGAGGGGCATTATTTCCAAGTTTAACCACTTCTTTTTCTGTTTAGCTGCTCAGAAATAGGCTTCCAAAACCATTTTTTTGCAAAATGGCTTTGTCACTTTTTTTGTGAGAATGGCAAAGTAGAACTTAACGTTCACTGGGATGTTTATAATTAATAAAATTACTCATTTTGAGAGATCCCAGTATTGGGTTTGACTTGCTGGCCATCAGACTTTTCTCAGTGAGAAATGACATTCTAATTAAAATACAGGGAATCCGAAGTCTCTCTGTGAACATTTCCTGTTGAATATGCAGCCAAAACTGAAATAAGGTGTCAGATTTTACTTTTCTGTAATATTCCTGATTATGTGACATTTTTGGAGTGTAGAATATATAAATATTGCCTTTTTTTAAGGACATGTGTGTGAGGTTAAGCTCCAGTCTATGTTTTCTAGTGATGAAGGAAAATGTCTTCTTTTAAGTAGAACGAAGAAACAAGGAAAATAAAATAAAGTGAAAGTGTTAATAAGATTTAAATATTCCTTGCAAAGTAATAATAAAACCCTTCCAGTGTCCTTTTGAATTTTTATGTCCAAGCTGTATTGGTGTTTAAAAATGCCCACACCACAATGAAGTCATAAGCTGATTTTTCAAAATATGCTCATTGTGTAAGAATAACTATTTACAGTTTTCTTGTAGAATTTCAGAAGTTCTGATTCCTTGCAGATAATAAAAAGGCAGTGGTTGGTGGTGGTGCTGATTTTCTGAGCCACTTGATGGCATCAAGTCTTGTGAGTTCACCAGTTTTGTTTCCTTAAGGTCTTGACAGTAGGGGAAGTGAAAAATGGGGCAGATTATAAAGCCCCTCCACATTTAGAGCAACTGATGCCTTCTTGAATTTAGGGGAGGGGAAAAAAATCAATATTTATTTACTTTATAACTTGGCTGTTGTCAGGCAGCAGTTTGAAATGCACAGTTCAAACCTCCCCACGGGTACCACACATCTGGGCATCTTCATTGTTCACTTAGAGCTTTCTGCAACAGGAAGACAAATGATTCAATATTAAATTTATATGCTGAATTAAGGGTAACAGGTTTAAAATGGAGGACTAGGCCTTAAACTTAGATGAGAATTAGTGTATTGATCTTGCTGTAGAATTAATGAAAATAACATTTTACTTCAACACATTAAGCTTTGCCATAGCAAAACTACTCCCTTTTCTTTCCACCATTTTAGCTGAAGTCAAGAAGACTTTTTTTGGTCTATTTTTAATATGCTTTGTCAGAAGTTAAAATTTTCTTTTGATGGGCAATAACTTTTAGGTGCATATATTAAAAGTATCCTTTGGGGTTTTGTTGTTGTACATCAGAAATTGTATGTGTGGAACTTTTTGTGACTCGGGGCTCCCTCGGCAAGTTTTGAAACGCATTGAGTTGCCCAAGGTGTGTTGTACCCTTACACTGCTCACAGTGGAGAAAATGCAAAAATAAGGTGTTTATCATGATCCCACTGCACACACCTTTTAGCAGAGCAGCCCTAGGAAGGGATGGAAGGAAAGCTGTACACCCCTTGTGCCATCTAACTCCTTCACTTCACTGGCTTAAGTTATTTATTCTTCATTTCTGCTCTTGGAGGCTCAGAAAGGGGTCATTCCATTTAAAAAGAAGTGAATTGAGATTTTTGTAACTTGGTTTATTATGGTAACTGCATCTGTCTTTCTGATCATGCCTGATTTTTTCCAGACATCTCAAATATTGTGTGTGTAAGAATGACACAAGGAATCTCCTGGAAACTATTAAAAACTGTGATATTTCAATAGGATTATTAAATGACAGTAACTACAGAGCCCAGAAAACACATGGCTTTGGATTCTTTCAGCTGAGGGACCACTGGCAGTGCCAACTGGTAACACAGTATTAAAGAAAAATAACACTTCTCCCGTGTTTGCATTTTCCAAGGCAGCACAGATTTCATAGCAGGACTCCACACAGTTAGAGGGTGTTATAAGTGGGAGTAGCAGGAATATGATTTGTGTGCATCCCTCTTCTTTTGCTTAAGTTTGTTCTTTTGCTCAAGAAACAATTCTGAATGAGACATTTCCCCCCTAGTGTGTGGTGTGTTTTCTTTGCTGACTGTGAGAATCTGCCTTGGCTGAGGTTTTGGTGCTTCTTTTTACAGGTGTCAAGGATGTTGCCTGCAAAAGAGAGTGATTGATGGATGTTTTTAATCAGTTGAGCTGAAGATTAAAATACACAATAAAATGTTACTCTTCAAGAAGAAACAAGAGACACCAAAGAAAAAGCATAAAAATTTATTATCTGATCTTGTCTTTAAACACCTTTATTCAAACAGTAAGTAACACTCCCCATAGCACACAACTGCTGCTTTTTAAATAATTTCAAACACTTCAACAAGCTGACCTTTATGTGTTTGTTTATGTGAGATAAAAATACTGGAATATGCAATGTGCTTAGTTGTAAGATTGCGCTCCTAAATTTCATGTGCAGTAAGTAATAAGTTATTTCTCATGGCACTCAAAAGCTTGGCTTTGACAGTAAACAGTTTTCTTGGGGATGGAAGGGGAAGAATCTAAAACATTCTATGCTGAAACTGTCTGCATCTGCCTTTTTTAAAGGAGAAAACACACGTTATAAGAGTTTATTTATTTAAAATCACAACTGTGGTGGTGCTGCTACTGAATGTAAGATGGCTCTAAGTGAGAAGTTCAGACTGTGGTGTTCAGCAGCCTTCAGACCTGCAGTTATTTTAGGAATAAGCCTCTGCTCTGTCACTTCCTCTGTGTGTGTTAAGTACAAGCATTTCAGATCCTCACTTCAAATGTCCAGTTCAAGAGGAATTCTGTATGCATTGGGGCTGGGCTGGCTCCACCCTTTTCTTCCTGAAGTCAATGACATTCCACATTGTCTTCAGTGGAAACAGGGGCAGGTTTATGCTTCTCACCTTCAGAAATGTATAATGAGACTCAAGTATCTAGCTTATAAGGTCTGAAAAGATAATTTAGATTATTCTCTAGGAATTAAATTACTGAAGTCAGAGAACTAAATCAGCAAAACCATCTACTGTTTAATTGCAGCTGTAATAAACACTGTAAAATCAATCAGGATTTATGATTAAATGACAAGTCTGCTTAAAAGCAGCAGCAACTGCATTATCTCCACATCATTCATACACACACTATAAATAAGAGCAGGATAATAAGACATGATGCTTCTCTCATTTCAGTGACAGTCAGGGCTGGCCTCCACAGCAGATGTGTGAGGCTGGGGGATGTCTGGAAGGTGAGCTGTTCCTCTAGCAGTAGTGTTTTTTCAGCACTGAGTTCCTGGGTTTGAACTCCATTAATAATCCTTGTGGCTCCCATTGCATTTACACTTCCCTCTTCCTCCTTTCCAGCTCCACTGGTGAATGTACTGGCATCATTTGCTGTGCTTCTAAAAACTGCATCAGCTGAACAACCCAGTTCAAACTCTTATCTCAAATACAGTTTGCCCTTTATCTTGTTTATATTCACGATGCTGAAAGCAATACTCTGATTTAGCAGGGAAGAGTTCTTGTAGCTTGATGAGAGTGTTCAGATTGGAACACCTGTGGGAAAACCTGGGCTAAACAAACCATAAAACTGGAGTTTAGGATTAACTGTAAAATCAATTAAAACACCCAGACTCAGTGAGCAGCAGACATGAAAGGAATGTGGTGAGGAATTCAGCTCAGGGGTATTCACTGATCATATCTCTGGAAAACAAGGGAATGAGGGCTACACAAGACTTTTGGCTGGTACCTGCTTTTAGTACTCTCTTGAGGCTTATCATTAGCCAAGAACAAGAGACCACCAATCCAAAGTAAATCAGTGCTGTGAATGAAAAGGGGCTTTTGTGACAGAGCAGGGCATCACATTTTGGAGAGGTCTTCCTCCTCCTTGTATGTGCCTGGTTTGTAGATGACTCCTCTGTTGTCTTGCCCTTCCTTTTTGCAGCTAAAATAAAACAAATGTATTAAAGAACTGTAATGCCAATGAAGGAAAAGCACCATTAGTTACTTAAGATGGTCCCTTATGCATGCATGAGATTATTTTTCTCTGTACCAGTGCAAATGTCACCGTAGCTTATTGTTGCAAATATTCTGTGTGTAGAGTCAATGCAGGATGCAAAGGGGTCAGGTTGTAGGAAAGTTTGTAATCTTAGATTTTTTTTCCCAGGATTTGGTTTTGTTGGCAAACAGTGGCTAAATGATCTTTTAACAATACATATTTCTTCCCCTAAAATGATGTAAACTTTGGGAGAGGTTTTTCTAAAATTCCATTCTCTTCGTTTCCCTCACTGTTCCAGGAAATATTCTGGGGTTTGTGTTCTCCCTGATTCTCACACACAGTTCTCTATTTCCTGGCCTTGCATCTTTTAAGGGTTTACTTGAGCTCTGCTCCAGCAATTATTATTTTGTGGAAAAACAACTGTATATGTTTGCTTTTCACAAAACCCAGCCACTCCTACAGCGGCAGAACAGTGGCCACTCTGGCACAGAGGTTGCAGCACAGAGAGACCTTTCAGCCAAATAAACATATTTTACTGGCAATAAAACAGAATTGCTTTGGAGTGTATGATACAGGGGAAATAATGTCTACAGTGACAAAACCAAATCAAAGTTTGTAGGAAGAGATCATGTCTTATAAAAGATCAAACATTACTTAGACTCACTTTGTGTCAGAGGAAAAATTTGGTTTGGCTTCCTTTTCTGTGATGTGACAGGCAGACATCTTACCTTCTCTTCTTCAGGAGCCACAAGGCCACTGCAAGGATGGTGAGGACTGCCAGGATGCAGGCTATCACAGCAGACACAACAAAACCTGGCAAGGGAGGGAAAGCACCCAGAACTGTCAACATCCTTGATTGAGAGGAGAAGATTAGTGCCTGAGGTGTCATAACATTTGCATTCTGCATCTGCAGCTTTCCTGCAGCCTGTTTTGTGATTATGGAGTGGGTAACTTTGCACAGATGTGCTCTGGAAGGTCCTGCCCCCACAGCTGGTTCCACAGCTCACCGTGCTGGGAAGTCAGACACACACTGGAGTCACAGCACCAACATGCACAGGCAGAGAGGTCAGAAAATCTTGATTTTTTTTTGCTATAATGTATAAGAGATCATAAGCAGAACTAAAGAAGTAAACCCAGGCAAGTTAGGCTGCTAAATTCAAAGCCTTTTGTTTTTTCAAGGCAGAACACCACTGAGTGTGGAGAGCTGAAAAGTGATCTGCTTTGCTGTTGAGAATATTACTTAAAGGCACTGAAGAAGGTAAGAATGAATTCAGGATAGTGGTATGAAGATCTGAGTGTTCCCTTGTTTGCATAGAGATGTTAAGCATTATAATTATAATTCTATATTTGCTAACGACCTTCATATACGTATTTTGGCAATAAAGTATTTTTATTTATTTTGGCCCCCCCAAAGATCCTGAAGGTGAGCTCTCTCAACTGTGTTTTCTTAATTCATTGTTTTTTACATTTTATCCAACAACTATTTCCCTCTAAGCAACATCAGAACTCTTTCAAACTGACATGGAGTTGAAGGAGAGCTATTTTACAAAAAGGGAGTTTTGTTATAGTAAAGGTGCATCAAATGGACAAGAAAATACAACACCAAATAGATAACTGTAGAAAAAAGAGCTTGTACTTTGAAGAGGAAGGTTAGGGAGCATTTCTGTCTGATGAGACAATCTTCTTACAAAATTTGCTTAGATAGAATTCCAGTATGGTTCCATAACCAAAACTAGACACCAGTTCCCACTGAGCTGGTGGGCAGTGGAAGGTTTGAACATCATAACAAATTCCAGCTGAATGTGAAGCTGATTTCATTGGAATAGATTGCTGACAGCCAGAACACATTATGAACATATGTGAGTTTTGCTGCATAATCCTTCCAGATTAGAGACCTTTTGAAATGTATTCTTGTTAAGAGTGAGCATGAATTTAGATATTAATTATTGGCATCAAAAATGTGGATGACTGAAGACTTCAGTCATTTGCAATTTTGATGCCAAACACAGGCCAGTGGCCTCATCTTGTGGCCTCTGTGCTCAGGTGGAGGTGGCAGCCTTGGCACTGAAAGGGCAGAAAAGCTGCTCTGAACACCTGCTTAGCTGGGCTCTAGGTGTGCACAAGGGGATTTCTTTCACAAATTTCTGGGGTTGCCTGGCCCAAGCCATGATCCCTTTATGGCTTTTCCTTCCCTTCTCCTCTGCTCTGTCCCTACCCGTGGTTCAGCTGCATCAGGCTGGGCACTTCCAGCCCCCAACCAGCTGGGCTGAACTGTGCTTTGATGGCAACGTTTTTTTCTTCTTTTTCTTTGTCTTTCTTTTTTTGCCCTTTAGGTGAGGGGCTGCACCTGTGAGGGAGCCTTTGTGACTGTGGTGAGAGGAATGTGAGATTACAGGGGCCATGAATACCTTTTCTGAAACGGGTTGAACATTTTTTCTATGGTTCACTGATAGAGTCAATGAGCTTCTGTAATTAAATGTTGTTGGACTGAATGGAGTTTCTATTCAAGGAGCACTGAGCAGCCTCTTTCATAGCCATAAAGACCAGTTCTTGGGTAAGAACAGCAGGATGGGCAATAAGCCACACCATTTAACTCTGCTAAGTCATGCCAGCTTTAAAGAGACATTGAAAATGTTTCTGTAGCTGGTGTCACCTCTGCATGGGAGCCAAATAATGTGGCTTAGCAAAGGGGGAGCCAAATGTTATTATTGGGTTTGGCACTGGTTCACAGCAACAATTTTGAGAAAGTCACATCTGGGTCAGATTTCCCCCCACGGATGGAAATAATGCTTATGCTATTTCTGTGAAGTGTTTGGAGATTCCTGGATGAAAATACAGTGTCTGATTTTCAGTTACTGGGATCATGGATTGTAACTCTCTACCTTCTACTTTTAAGTACTGAGTGTGATTTACAGAAAGAATGTAAGTCAATGCTGAAAAGTGAACTTAAGGAACAGATGGATAAGTGCATTTCTCATTTCTGACTGACCAGTCTGACTCAGAAAATCACTAACTCTTGGGTGTGGTTAGGAATCAACAACATATCCCCTCCAAGTCCACCAGGTATTGAATTTTGATAAATTTTGATAAATTGGTAAATTTTGATAAATTTAAATAATTACTAATTATGTGCATTAATTCCAGAGAAGGCACTCAAAAGAAACTTCATGGTAGTTCCTCTTACAGGAAGCTTTAGAAAGATTTTAAAATGTTGCCATGAGAACTGAAATGGTCCCCAGCCACAGGAGGACTTGTGAAATTGTCTCTGGGTTTATCTCAAAGATGGAGATTTGCTTCAAGTAAGGGCCAAAGGCTGCTGATGCCCCACACTGCTCTGGCTGGGAGTTTGGTGCAGCTGAGCTGACAGGAGGTCAGCCACCTCTGGTGACAAGGCTAAATCATCACTGATTGCAGGGAAATGTTTTGCCGGGGTTTTTTTTGGCTGATCTCTGATTTTCACTCTTCTTTATAGCTTTGCATCAGAAGAGATCTGTTATGAAATGGTCTGTCTGCAGGGGGGAATGGCAAGAACAGTTGCTGCAGTGTGTCTGCAGGGAACTGTCCCTGCTGTGGCTGCTGTGTGACATTTCTGAACATGCACAACTCCTGTGCTTTCTGTTCTTTCACCTAAACGGTGAAGAAACTGGCAGGTGAAGGTGAAATGATGTCCTAACACATTTTATTAATTTGAAAGTTTACTGCTTGGCCAATCCTTTTTGTGCTGTGTCCTTTTTCTTTTAGAAATCTTTTAGTCTCCATTTCAAACAGTAGAGGGGCTGGCCTAGACTCCTCTGCCCTCAGTGTATGTGCCACCTTCAGACACCTGAGAGTATTTGTTTGCAAGACAACAAAGAATTTGGAACAATACATTTTGCACAAACAATATACTCCAATGCCTTCCTGTGGGTACAGCTCAGCTCCTCACCACAGATGCAGACTTCTGTGCAAACCCCCCACCAAACCTATGCATTGCCATTGTGTAACCCTGCATAATTAAGCTTTTAAATCAGTTTTTCCTCATAAGATGACCTTTTCTTTTTATTTGTAACACTGGATCACACAATCCAGTGTTATGAATTATTTTTATTTGTTAGGTTTGAATTCCTCAAGGACCTCCTCTGATTCTGTGTGATTTCCCCAAAACAGTGTCCCTGAAAGGCAGAGTTGTGATTCCCTTTAAGTGTGTGGTCTGCTTAAAACCAAGGCTGACACTGCTGAGAACCAGCAAACATCACTGGTGAGGCAAGGCCAGCTTAAGGTGTTCAGTGTTTGTAGTGACAGCAAATACTTCTGCTAAGCATCAGAAGGCCAAATGTGTTTTTCTTCTTTTACCTCCTTGCCTTTGATCAGAAGGGTTGCAGGTCTTGCCTGACACCCCCTGTGGAAAAAATAATTCTTATGTACTCTGTGAGTACCTTATTCTTGTACAGCTGCCCATGCAACAGTGCAGTAAGAGAAGAAAAGGGAACAAAGGGATCTGCTGGAAAATGAGATTGCTGTATTTCTGCAGTGGTACAGATGCAACAGCGCTGCCACTTCAGTATTTCAAGTGTCCCCAAAGGACTGGGCACTGTTTCTTTGCACAGAAGCATTCCCACAACTTACCTTCACGGAAGGAGATGAAAACCAGCCTTTCATGAAACTCCTGAACATTCCTGAAGTTATCCACCATCTCCAGGGGCTCGGGGTCGTCACTCTCTGTGCAGTACATGGCTGTTTCCAGGGCCAGGAGCTAGAAAGGGAAGCACCCTGTTCAGCTCCCAGGATCCAGAGAAAGCAGGGCCAGGGTGTGATCACTGGGAGTGTGTTTGAAATCAAAGGGAAGGGGATAATTAAGTGATACTTAGGTCTTATGTGGCCTGTGAGCCCAAATACAGAATACTGTGTAAAGAGTGAGGCATCTCCAAATGCACACCTGTGTTTTGTTTGCATCCTGATAACACTAATCCTGCTTAGTGATTATCTGCCAGGAAAACTGGAGGGGAGGAAACAGGGTGGCCTTTTCCAGCATGTTCCCCCTAGCACAGTATATCTCCTAAGCAGTATTAAAAGCTACTTTATGAAAGGACTCTTTACTCTGCTAAAGACACGATCTGACAGAGTGGACAAAGGTAAGAATGGATTTTCATAACGAGGAGCATGCAGAGACTTTGATAATAACATTTTCCCCTGTGTCTATAATTAGGTGAATCAGAAGACAGTGATTGTGAGTTTATTATAGTTTGTGTAAGTGGCCACCCAAGAACAAAAGAAGTTAATTAGATGAGCACAAAAAATATCAGTTGGGAGAAACACTGGGGATTCAAGACTGACAAATAACTCATCACATGCTTTTTAGAAACTTAACATCTACCCAACCTGTCATACCTAAGTCAGGATTGAAGTAGCACTAAAATGCTTGGTGAGTAGTATTCAGACATGGAGTGTGAACAAAGTAATCTGCAAGTAACTCATGGAAAGTCTTTATGCAGGAGTAAGGACACAGTGGAAACAGAAATTAATCTCACTTGACTGTGATGTTTTCAAGCTGATACTGTACCAATGGCTATGCTGTTGTCTGTCATTTATTTATTCTGGTCAACTGAAAACATGCTAACTCCAAACAGAACAAGGTATTGATTTATGTCACTTCTGTGCTGTTCTTCCCACTTGAAGGCTTTTAGCAATGGCTCTCTTTCAGTTTTACAGGAAGATAAGAGCAATCCAGGAAATGAGAACATGCATTTGCTGTTCTGACCCCAACCAGGGAAACATGTGCTCTATTGAAACTTGCCTGCTCCTGTGAAATTGTGACGGGGTGTCTGAAAACTGTCCAGAGAACGCTGGGGTAGCAGGGAGGAGTTGTCAGGGATCCTTCATAGCGATAAAACTCATCCAGCCTGGCAGGGAGCAGTTCTCGAACGTTGAAGCCAGGCACTTGGACCTTCTGATCTAAAAAGGGGATTCATGGAAAAGCCTGCATCATTCCTATACATGCAGTGCACCAGTGAAGTGAGTTTGCTTTTCAGTAAGTAGATGTTTTCGGTGTCATATCACTAGGATAGGAAAAATACCTTTTAGCAGGGATAGTCCCAGTTTAATAAGGAACACGGCTTTTTAGGGTTTCTATGTACAAATCTTGTCTTAGATATCAAATATGAATCCTGTAAGATAAACTGAAGGCCAGATTAACTAAAAGCCACTGTGTGCAAGAAATAAGGCCCAGCCAGGAACATGTGGTGCTTGGCAGCCATACACTCCTCCAGAAATGCACTGCATTTGGAGGTCTCTCAGTTTGTGACAGGTTTGTCTGAGATCTCTGGGCTGTTTCTTCAGCCAGTTCAATCCCCCTCAGGGTGGCATCTGACACCCTCAGCCATTCTCAGTGTGGTGCAGCCACTCACCCTTGTACTTCACGTTCCGGAAGTGCCTGAAGATCTTTTCATAGGAGGGGTTGAAGGGTCCGATCTGAAATGATCACACTGTTAAACAGCTGTGCTGCCCACTGTGAATCTGTGCTCCTCTGGCTGTACTGGATGGCCTGTCACAAGGCAAGCGTCCCCACTGTCCAGATATTCATGTACCAGAGTGGCATAAGGGATTTTATAACTCAAAACTCTAACACTGTCCTCAGAGCACAGTTATGCTCCCACTGAGAGCTGTCAGAGCTGCCTTGTCAGGATGCTGCCTTAACAACAGCAGGGTAGACTTTAGTGTGCCCTTGAAAGCCCCTGTTGCTCTTGCCTGTTCAGAGTGCTGAGAAAAAGGAGAGAAACCTCTGAGAACCTTGCAGGCATAAGTTCTCAACCGACAGGCTTCTCAGATCATCTGCTGCTTTCTCATCAAAGCCACAGTTTTCCACCCATGAGCATTTTTCAGTCTGCTGCTCCTCTCAGTCCAGGAAGATAAAGAGTGACACCATTGGGTACCACTGGCAAGGGCTATAACTCAACTATCAACAAAGACCATCTTTTTCAACTGCTACCAGCAGCTTTTCTGTCTGATAATCAGTGTCTTTTTTCATGAATTCTTCAGAGTTGGTGCTTAGCAACTCCTCTGACAACCAGACATAGTAAACTGGTGTCCTTAGATCAACTGCAATAGCCACCAGCTGGCTGAAAGTTTTTCAGAGATCTAATCTCCATTGTTCCCTAATTTGATTTTTAAATATCATTGCTTGGAAATAACCAGATACCAGTATTATTCCCTAGCAAAATATACAATACTCTGAAACTTTTCACAGCTGCAACTTCCAAATTAACTGAAATGTAACACAAAATTACTGTCAAAATCTTAGAGCTGCTAGGAAGTGAGCTGGGATTGCATTAATGAGAGCTTTGTCTGCTAACTAGAACATTTTCACTTTTTTGATGGAAATGTGAAAGCCTGGAGGTTGGGTTTTCTATGCTGCAGAAAATCCTCACATTTAAAAATTACAGTTATCTTATTGAGGAGTTTTAATCCTCAAGAAAAGGGAGACATATACACACAAGGTACTAAAATAAAACCTGTTTATGATCATTATTATCTTTGTATGTGGGGCTTTAGAGAGGAAAATTGGAAAGTTGTCCTTCTATCCTGTTAAAAAGGTCACTGAATTTACTTCTTTACTGTAAACTGCGATTCAAAGAATCTGGGAAGAGAGCAGCATGAAGACTGTGGTTAAATCCTAATTACATATGGTGGTCAAAGGCAGGGCTGTGCCTGCCTGTGCCTCTGCTGGGTCAAAACTGCTCCAGGCTCCAGCAGTTCTGAGGAAGTGAGCTGGGAATTCACTGTTGCCTCCTGTTTGATAAGCCCTACCAATCCATGCAAAAATGGATTTAACATAGCTGAAGTTAATTTACTGAAAACCATGAGACAATATTCAGAATTCCTCTTTTCTCAGAATGTGTTCCTGTTTTGGTATGTGCTGCTGGAATCTGACTTTTTATTGGTGAGAGGGGAAAGGAAAAACCTTTATTCAGCCACTGTATTGTTAAATGATCTGGATAATCTTGTACATTGATGACTTAATGATTGAAAGCATATTCTAAACAACAACAAAAGCCCTAAGGATCCTACCTCGAGGAGAACAGCCAGAACTGCCAGTCCATCCTCTTTGTCCATTGCTGCTGTTACATCTGGATATTTCTCAGAGTTGTAATGCACAATATGCAGCTACAAAGAAGGGGATACTTTGTTATAGTAACATGTGGGTGTGCTCACATTTCTGTTTCACAGCTAAAAAGGACCAACTCAGCCACCTCAGGATAAGACAATACAAGGAGGTCCTTTAGTGATTTCTGGGGGTAAGATCCTTTTAGAGAAATCAAAAGGTCCTGGGAGTCCCACCTCCAGCCCTGCTGTAGCCAAGTTACACACACCCCACAACCCTCATAATGAAGGGGGGAAGAGGATCAATGACTTCAGCTTCAAAGCATCTTGACTGTACTACTAGTAAATTTTTCTGGAAAAAAGACCCACCTTAACACTTCAATATTTAGAACAAGAAACTCAGTGTTAAATAGAGAAGAAATGGATTCCTAAAGTGCTGTTATGCAAACAAATTATTCTGACTAATTTTGAGGTAAATATCTGATTGGCACTTCCTATCAAAATCTATTCCCAAATCCATCATTTAAGATTAGAAAAGGTAGCAAATAGTTCTTCGCTGGATAGAAGAAGGTGAGCAAAGGTAAATAGAGCAGCAGTGCCATGCAGCTAAAAGATATACCTGGTTTACAGAGAAGAACCAAGGTACCAAATATCTTGAAATGACCCAAGTGACCTTGTTCCAGCTCTGAGTTTGGAGCCCAAGTTCTAACTCCCTGACTTAGTGACAGTACATCAGAGTCCACCTTTTTTGCACAATCCGTTTTTTAGTATATACCCAGATCTTAGCAGCCTTTTACAGCCTTATCCCCAGGACACAGATCCCACTTGGAAGCAGTGGGACCTGCCCACCCTTCTTTGCTCTTTCCCTGGCCTGAGCTTGTCTCACCTCTGCTGCAAAATGCTTCCCACCCATGGTGTGCTCCGAGCCTTCGGACTTGTTGCGGTTCCCCCAGTGCAGGTGGAGCTGAGATGCAGTGTATTCAAAAGGGAGGTTCCTGATGGACATGGTAGGTGACAGGTACATTTTCACTGCAAGCAGACCAAACCCAGATGGGAGCAGATGATACCACAGCTCTCAAGAACAGGGCAAATAAAACTACTCTAAGTATATTATGTGGGGAGCATGAACAAAGCAGGTTCTTAACTCAGACCCATCTCAGTCTGGGGGGCAGATAAACACTTCAGTGCTCTTTAGCCCTTTCTAGGTAAATCAGGAGGATTTAGAACATATCCTTTTTCTACTTTCTTAAATGAAGGAATTGAGTGTGAGAATTGTTGCTAATGGAAATCTTCCTCCTCCCTGAAGAACGCAAATTTATCTCAGACTTATTGAAGAGACAATTAGTGAGATGTTGGAGCAAAACTTAGGTTCGTGTGCCTTTTTTCAGTCCTCTCATAATGATTGAAAATGTCTTAGTAAATTAAGACTTATCAGGGTATTTTTTATCTCCTGTTACATTGAACTCCTCTGCTTCTTAATCTTCTTTTAGGAGCACATGGTAAAACCAAATAAACTTTTCCCTCTCCTCACTGCTTCCAAAACCCAGAACATTGATGTCAAGCAGCAAGATAATCCCAGGCCTTAAGAACTAGCATTTCCTCTCTTGACTGGGTGGAGATCTTGGCATGCATTACCCTCCCTTCTGCTCACTAATACTCTCCAGTGGGGATGACAAGCTGGGTTTGGGGTTTTTTTGGTGTAGTAATTCTTAACTCAGGAGAAAGTTCTCAGTTGTTCACTTGAGACTTTTGGTACTCCATAAAGCAACAGTTTATGTCAAGAACAGATTGATTTCTTTATTACTTTGTGGTGTGAATATAATTTGTTTCTGGAGTGTGCCAGATGTTTTTCAGGGGAAACAGGGCTCAAAACCTTAGTGAAGGAACAGCTGCAAGCCTATGGTCCTAAAAAGCTTGTTCTGAGCTCTACTGTTTTTGGTCTGGCTGAAGTAGGTGATTGTATCTGGATGAGCTGGCTGGTGAAGCACAATAATTATATGTAGGAATGACTGACAGACAATACTAAGCTTCCTACTGGTTTTCTCTCTGGCTGAAAGAGAAGGCAGCAGCAGATTGTGTAATGATCACTCCAACAGAGTCTAATTTTTAATTACTCAGAGCAATCAATTTGTACCTCAGTGAGGTTTCTGGAGTACTTTGCATCTCCCCTGCTTTCTAGGAGGGCACTGACCTTAGAAGTGAATTCCCATTTTTACTGAGGGGGAACATGTTTTTGTCTTGGCTTTCATTAGGAAGTAGTCAAACTGTTTTAGGGGTGAGATGTGACAATGACAGGTGACAAAGGCTCTACAAGGAATTTGCCTGTACCTGAGTGACCATTATGTGAGGGACAGACTCCCTGTGATGTTCTTTTGCCTCCTGGCACCATTAAAGCCCACAGTGACAATGTTTCCTTCTCTGCCTGTCACTCACATCAGCCCAAAGCATTCAACTGTGACAGTGCAGTCTTTCACTTGGGACCAAGAAGGACTTTTAGGAAAAGAAGGCTCACAGGGAAAAGGTGTTCCAGCCATTCCTAGTTTAAAGGATTTTGATGGAGGAATTGATTAAGAGGAAAACCAGGAATCATGTCCTAAGAGAAGAAGGGGCTTATGATGTTCAATAGAGCAGGTTTACCTCACTGAAAGAATGAGAGAAAAAGAGACTTTTGCATGTTGGTCAAACATGCCAGAGCAGAGCAGAGGCCATTTTATAACACAGGTTATTTTGATGCTTATAAAATAGAAAAGGATACAAAGAAGGAGGGCTTTATAACTGTTCTTATTCCTATGTCTTCAAATGTTTCAGGAAGGAATGAAAAATGGTGGAACTAACTGGCATTATATATTGTGTCAATATAATAGATCTTTATAAGACTGCATCTTTTCTGCCTTTACCTACTGTAGTGACATTTTGTTTAAGTGCTGCAGTGGGGAGGGCATGCTTGTATGCTATTTCTAATTATTATTCTGTCTTCTTACTGGTCTTATCTTATGCTAGAGAGGTTTCTGTCTGAAATCAAAGGAACAGAATGGTGCTTCTAGCTCTTTTTTTCCTTCCCTCCCTGCCCATGTAATTCAGTTGAGCTGCTTTGATAGCCCAGGATGTCAGAGACCCATTACACTCATATTTTATCAATTTATCTCTTTTCAACAGAATCACAAAGTCTGTTGCTGTTTCAGAGCACCACAACCAAAGTAGTAAGAAAAGCTCAGGAATTAATTCTGACATGCCTAGAGTTTATTTTAAAACTCTTTATTCAAAACTCAGCTTACTGGGCATGCATTTGTCCTTAGTACATTCCCAGGTTTCCCTAGCCTGTGCTGTAGATGTGAAGGCTTTATCATCACAGCTTAATTTCATCTGATAACCAAAGTAGTTCACCCATGAAGCAAAAAAAACCACGAGTTCCTGCAACTCCCAACTCCTGCTGTCACTGAGCTCCTTACCTGAATGACCATTATTGGTCAGTGTAAAATGGTCAGTGGAGGACACATTGTAGCCTATGAATTCTAAAGGCAGGAGATTGGAATCATACTGGAGAATATCCTTGTGGAAGTCAATTGGAGATTGGAACACTCCTCCACAAAATGGGTATTTCTTTGGCCAGGCCTTCTCTCCATCAGGACCTGTGCAAATCAACAGAGACACATTTGTCAAGCCTTAACACCAAATTTGGAAAGGAAGCCTTTTCTGAATTTTTAGGCAGTTTTTTTTTTAAATCTCAATTTTATCTTTCCATTGGATAGAAAATTGGAAAATTGCCCCATTGGATAGAAAAGGGCCAAATGCCAAAAAAAAAAATCTCACATTGAGACACTTCACTGCTTTCACTGCCCCTCAATTTTTTGACAGTCTCAGCTGCTGCTGTTACACTCTAGGGGAGCTGCAGGGCTGGCAGCTCACAGGGTCAGACCTGCAGGAGCAGCACCACGGGCAGCCACAGTGCCCCTGAGCCTCCCCGATGGCATTGTCTCCACAGGGCCCATGAACGTTTGGATCTGTGACAGTATTTGGGTTATTTACTGACATGAACCACTTTTCCCTATGGAAGTAGCAGGCACAGGCCCAGGAAGGCTATTCCAGCCTTCTGAAGAGGATTGCTGAAAGAAGTGACTTCATGTTGACAGAGTTCAGTGCACAGAAAGCCAGCCCCTCACAGCCTTTCCCTCACTGTACAAACTGTCTGGCTCTATCCAGCCAGACTGCATAACCCACACTGAAAAGCTAACTTGCAAAAATGGAAGGTGCTATGAGAATTTGACCTGCAATAACTTGCTCAAACTCTGACGAAACTTTTCTTCATCACAGTCTTTTGCCCGAGGTAGGATCTACAAAGAACAGATAATATCAAGAGAATTTTAATTGTGCCTTTGATTTAATTACACATTAATAGCCAGCAGCTGTTCACAAGCTGTAAACTGAGACTATTTGGATTTAAATACCAGAAGAAATACTTGCAACTTGTGTTTCTCCTTGTCTCTGAACATTAGTCATGATTCTTTCCAAGGCAGGAAGGTCTTTTGGGATCACCAGCCTGGTCTGGATAACACAGGGCACTGAGCCTCCCTGCTTCAATGAGGCCACATCTTTCAGAAGGGAATAAACATCTACTCTTCCTTTAAGCTTTTCAGGTAAAAGATACTTCATTAGTGCTCTCCTCAGCAGCTTGATTTTCACTGTGAGCCTGTTGTCACCACGCTTTTGTTCCTCACTGACGTACTTATAACACAGAGGGTATAGTTTCTTACTTCTCTTAAAATAAATCCCTTGAGCCTTTGGTTAGAAGGCTTCTTTTCCAAACCTGTAATATTCCTTCTGGCTTCTTTGAAGATCAGGTCATCAGTGGCAAAGCAAGTTCAGATCTTTTCTGAAGGAAATTAGCAGCCAGGAGGATATTATTAGAGGCTCACTTTATTTACATGCAAGGCAGTTGCCAAGTATATGGATAGTGGAGGTGAACCTGACTTAAACAGTGTGTGTGACAGAGGCAAGTGCAATTCTGGTGCTTAAAGACAGACTTACTTCATTGTCAAAGCTGTTTAAAATTATTCCAGACACAGGTTAACACATGACATTGTTTGCAGTGTGGATACTCAGACTCAGTCAGTGCTTTTCAGTATGAATAGGCCTTGATGTTGCTGCAGCTTAAATCTTTGACTCCAGTTTGCTGACAATCACAATAATTTCTCTCCTCTTAGATCCTAAAGTTACTGAAATTCCTTAAAAAACCTAATAAATGTTATGCTGACATTATAGAAGACTGCATACTATCCTCTACCTGTTTTTTGGCAAATAACAAATACATCCACAAGAGCATAAATTCCATATATACTCAAGAATATTTCCCAGAAAAATATACATCAGGATATCCCAGGAAATTATAGTTTCTTAGGTTGCAACTTGATGTGCAAGACAATGACACTGATATTTAACATTTTACAGGGAGCTAAGACTCCAACAGTGTCAGAAAAACTGGTGAGAAGTCCTTGTTGTAAGAAGACTCAATCATTTAAAAAAGGTTTTTTAAGGCAGTGAGTTTGCAAGAAGACTTTAATATACTACACATCACAGGTTTGGAGACTTGATAATTAAATAGGTAATTGATGTATAAAACACAAGTCTAGTCCCAGCCAGTGAAAACCATGTCATGAAGTACAAATCATTTTTTCAGTACTATGTTTGGATAAACTGAATACCCTGAAGAGTTGGCAGCAGAAGATGGGAACTTCCACACCCACATCACCAGTTCAGAAGGAAAACTTTTGTGTTCTCTATAAAATGCTGTAGTTATCATAGTCTTTATGTACTTTGATCTTTACTAGCAGTTATCCTTTCCTTGGCATAACTCTGCAACTCACTCACAGGCTTTTAAGCTACAGCAGTTTTTGCTTGTTTCTCACTCCTGCTCAATTAAGAAAAACCCAACAAAACCAAACAAAAACCCTTTTTTGGTAAAAACCTGTTTTTATAGAAATTCTGCCTTTTGTCACGTAGTCTTTCTAATTTCCTCAGTGCCTCAAAACTCTTGTCTCAAAGAGCTGAGCTCACTGCAGCTTGGGTTTGCATATGTGATTTTGAGATTTCCATGGCAGATAAACCACACAGCTGGAAGGCATTTCTCAGCTAGGTCTGTTGAAAATGAATGATTGATTGTGAACCAGATTTTCCTTTTTCTGTGCCAGCACATTCAGATAAATTCACTGGAAATCACATCGTGTTTACAAAGGCTTTGTCTGATCACTATTGAATAAAGAACAGCATGTGGATGTATTAACATTGGCCTGTGTTACAAGTCCCAAAAGGTATTAACATAAGAAGTATTGCAAAATTATCTTCATAGTTAATTTTCTTCTTTTGTGAAAGACTCAGGCACTTCAGAAGGTGTTTGCTGCTCTGAGGATCCCATCAGCACTGTCAGCAGAGCAATAACTGTGCCATGGGCCTGTTCTACCCACTCAGCACTGTTATTCAGCTGGTGGAGGGAGAGAATGAAGGCAGGGAGCTGTTGGTGTGAGTGAAAGTAGGACCCTCATGCTACCACTGCTCCCAGTGCTGCCAGGAACGTTCCCTGGTGTAGGGAGTGCAGACTCAGGCTGCTCAAATCCAGCTTGTGGGTTGCCTTCTTTTATTTGATTTTCCAGGACCGTGTTCCCCTGCCACACTGTAAACAGCCCTGAGCCTGGCTGTGCCCTCATGGCTGTTTTGTAAAAGCTGTCTGTAAATAAAGCAGCAATAATTCCCTGGGCAGTCAGGCTGCCCAGTAAGCTGAGCAAACCACCCTCAGCACAGGGCTGCCTGTGCCCACTGTATCATCTCCTCTGACAGCTCTAGCTTTGCAGCCAGCCCCACAGCACCCCGGGGGGGTCTGCTCCCAGGATGTGCACGTGGCCTCATTTAAAACAAGGAGAAAATAGGCCTGTGAGACACCAGTGTTACCAGCAGACTTTTGCTCTGATGACCAATTAATATTCGTGTTGGGGGGAGGAATCACACGGTTTCCATTGCACTCAGAGCTCAGGCAGAGCTCAGTCCCACCATTCTGGGCATGCCAGGATGTGGATACCCAGAGGGAAGCCTGTGAGGTGGAGGAATTGCCAAGAGCTGTAGCTGTCCTTGTTACTGCATTCAAGTGCCATATGAGAAATTTGGGGTGTGTTTTAGTGTGTTCACCAAAGCTGGCATTTCCTAAGGGGAACTGGAGGGGTCTTAGCACAGGCTCTCAGCACCCCACTGAACTGGAGTATTTGGCAAGAGAAGAATGAAAGAGTGTGCAAGTACAATTAGCCTGCTGTCTGTTAACAACAGTTCTTGTGTCTATGTTGCAGCATGAGGTTGTCTCCTCACATGCTAAAGCACATTTATAATTCTGTTGGCACTATTACTGCTAAAGCAGGTTAGTAATTCTGTTGGCACTATTACTTTGAACTTGTCTATAAAGCTGGTTTTCTGCATTGTAGCTGCTTGTCCACTCCAAAGGGATGACTCTGGTTCTCTGATTTCCTTCTGACCCACCTACATTACAGAAACAGAAAGCCAGAATCCAAAGAATTGAAGCCCAACATCCACTTTTAGCAATTTTCTTCTGGGGCAGAGGACTTCTGGCCTGCACCTTCCAGCCACACAGCAACACTGCCAGCAGCTGTGTGCACATGCTGTCCTGAGCTATGGGGCATCAGAACAATTCCTTCAGTTCTTTAACTGAAAACACTTTTCTTACAACGTGCTTGATGTCTTTTGTCCCTTTTACAGAAGGTGAAGCAGCCCATGAGAGAACACAGAGCCAACCTGTGCCACGAGGGCTGAGGGCTCATGCCTCAGCTCACTGTTCTGTGGTGTTTCCTTCAGCCACTTTTTTTTGGGATACATACAAGAGGAGTGAAAACAGGAAGAAGAAATAGCATTACTGCAGCTTGGCTAAGGAAGAAGCAAACAGAGAAGAGGTTTAGCCTTTTTATTTACTGTGTCTCATGTAGTAGTTTCTATTATAGCCAAGACAAATGCTCATTTCTTTGGAAAGCTTGTGCTGAACAGATAAGGCCTGATCACATGCTGTGTCATCTTGCTTTGCCACTGTGCCCTGAGCTGCTAACACTGTATCCACAATCAGCTTTACATATTCTCCTGCTCAACAAATCTACTCCTACTCCACCCTTAATCTTACACCTTGACCCTCATCTTGACATCAGTCTGCACTGTCATTATAATTGCTTGATTTCCTTTCCCTTCCTATTGACTTATCTGTAGGGAAAGCACTGCAAAGTGCTTCAGGGATGAAGATAAATGGTGGGAGGTTTAGGCTGCCATAAGGAGCCAGGATCAGTAGAAGAGTATGGAGAGGCTCTTCTCTGGCTTAGTGCAGTCTCTCTAATACCTGGTTTTCTCTGTGCAGATCAATGTTCCACTTCTACTTTTCTGTACTACCCTGGACAAGTTCAGTTGCAACTTTAATTTTTTGAAGTTGCTTTTATATATTTTCTTTTATATGTTTTTCTAGATATATTTTGAAATCAGTAGTTGAAGGAAAAAGATAATCTGTTTTGTGAACCTTCCCTCTATCCTCCAGCACACGTTAGAATATAGAAATCAGACTGCAGTATGGAAGAGCTTAACAGGAATTGATGAAGTTGGGCACTGAGAACAACACACTTGGAAATAAACACTGGCCCTCAAATTCCCAGAAAGGGAGAAGTAACTAATTGAAACAAGCACTGCCCTGGGATGGAGGGCAAAGCTTCTACTTTGATGGTAAAAGGAGCAAAAGTAGTCTTATTTTCCTTACTACCCAGCAGGGTTAGGTTTGTCTGATGGCTGCTGTCAAGGTAGAAAACCCAGGCTTTTGCCAATGAAACTGTGTCAGACTCTCCTGATGAGAGTGGGAGGTGTCTGTGTGTGCAGGGCAGTCAGACAGTACCTATGCACACACAGCTGACAGTTCTCCCTCTGCTTACGTGAAGCCAGTCAGGTAAAGTGGAGCTCAGCCAAAGGGAGGGAGGAGTTCTGAGAGGCAGCTTCAGCCTTGGAGGTTCTGCCTTGGAGCAGCACCAAAAGCTTAAGAACAAGCATTTTTTGGTGAGATTCCCAGTACTGCTACTTCTCTGTGGACATGTGGCACATAAAATGCTACTCTGAGTGAGGAAATACCTGGCTAGAGGATTTGACCAATTAAAAGAAAACATCTAGATAAATCTTCTTTCTGAGCAGCCACCAGGTCCTTCTGGGTCAGTAGCTCACAAAAAGGACTAGTTACAAATCAGTTCAATTAGTTACAAATTAACACTGCTTTCCTGAATATGATTTATTCTGCTTTGTCACTGCTGGGATTTTGGGGGACCCAAGTCTTCAGTAACATGATACAGGTGATTTGTGAACTCTGACTCAAAAATGAAGACCCATGTGGGTATGGAGAGGAATGCTCTCTGCAGAACTAGGTTCAAATGTTCTACTGGCCTGTAACTGGTGAGGAAACAGGGCTTGGGGAACCTCTGCAGTTGTAGGGCCAACCTCAGTCTGCTGAAGTTCCTGTCACTCCACAAGGCAATTTAGAACTCAATAACTGGCTCTCAGTCACCCAGATGTGAAACCTGAGGGACTGAAGAACAGATTTCAAGACAACTGACCAGATCCAAACCTGAGTAAAGGTAGTGAACCCAGTAAATACCCACCAGAATACATTTGGCATGTTATCCTTAAAACACAGAAGAAAGCCACAACTTAGTATGTATGAATTAATCAAATTAGTACTTACCAATATAAGACCACTTTGACCCTGTTCAAAGACAAAGAAAACATTACTATGAATATTTGAAATTGATCTTACTCTGTAAAGAAACAAATTGCTACTTAAACCCATGTACTGCACTGTGCAATACTTTCATCTATTTTTCCAGCCCCAGCTGTTGAGCATAGACACTTCCAAAGATTAGGAACCTTTCTGGCCCAAATTGTAATCATAATTATCCCTGTGATCCTGCCCATAAACTGTTGTCAGTCTATCTTTTTTCTCTTTGGTGGAATATCCACAGACTTTGTATGTAGGTACATCCCTGATTTTTTCCTGGCTAGGAAGGTAAGGAATTTAAATGGGGTGTAGCTACAACGAACCCCTTCGTGCCTAGTTGAGGAGTTTGAAAAACATCAGTGAATTGCCAGTTGCCACACTGGGAAATGATGGACAGTCATTTCTGTACAGCTCTGGGATTTGCCAACTGAAACAGGGATTAATAGATAGACTTTGAAGATACATGAACCCATGGAGCTCAGAGAATCCTGGGAGGGTGAATGAGTGTTAAAATGATCAATACTCACCCACTGCTTAAGGAACTGAACTTGGGATAGTGTCTCTACATGTCTTTGGAAATGTCTTGACTTATTAAATGCTCTTTTTAATTATTTTATTCCTAGTCCTGAAACCTGCAATCATACAGCTTGCTGTGTAATTAGAGGTGCTTGTCCTGGCAGACCTGAACAGTTCTGGTTATCAGGCTCATGCAGATCTTCATTCTTTGCAAATTTAATTTTGCTTCTGCTTAGAAAGCAGTCCTGAATCACAAGTCTTGCAAGCACCCAGTGTGCCTGTGAGTGTGTGCATGCAGGCAGGCAGATATTTATCCTCACAGGCACAATCCATGGCTCTTGGCTGCATTTCTTGTGCTCTGAAATGTGGTCACAGACACAGCTCTTCTCCAAGGAATGCTGTGTGAAATGTTTGGGATTAATTTGTAGGGAAGTGAGAAACAGCTGCACTTGGCTCTTTTGTATTGATATTTTGTATCAGCCTGGAACACTGAACACTCTGCTTTCGGTTTGTTAGGACCAGTGTGCCTTGTTCTTTCACACTGGAATTTTCAAAGCTGTGTAATCATCCTGGCTGAAGACCTCAGGTTCTTCCTGTAGAAGAATTCATGCACTGTCTTCGATGTCAAGATGGGAAACCTCATTTTCCTCTCGCCTTCACTCTGGAGGGGATTATCTCTTAGTGAGGTCTTTTGGGGGTTCCTTGTGTCTTCTGCTCAGGACATTCTGCAGGTAAAACTTGTATAAAGACACCAACTGACTGGCAGCAGATTTTAGACATATCCTCATCTGAGCAGGGTTTGAAGAAATATTGGCTTAACTACAATAGCTACTCTGTTCATGCTCTTACTGACCACTGAAATGTGTATGGAATGTCAAAACTATGATTTTCATAATCTAGAATAACCTTAAAACAACCAAATATTTCAAATATTTTCAATATTACAGCCAGTTACACCACTTGACACAAAAATATATGAAAGCTTCAAGTCTTTTGCCAAGTGAAATATTCCTTAGCCTGTGAGCATTTTGATGACCTGCAGTTCACTACCATCATGACTTTACTGGTGAGCACAATCACAGCAACTGGTGTAGGTTGGGCTGAGGCACATTTATACTCCTTTCATCCAGCTTAGGCCAGGAGATGAAGAGGTGACCAGATGGCAGGATCTTCTTGATCTTGTCTGAATGATCATACAGAGCTGCCAACCTCAGACTGTGAGCAAGGTTATGATCCTTACTCTGACTGATAAGGAAATGAGGAGGAGGCAGATTGTCACACTGCCTCCCAAAATCGGGGGCTTGACATCTAGAGGGGAACAGTGAACAGCTCTGTGAGCACTCTCCTGCCTCTCTGTTGATGCTGGGGTGAGTGTTGGGGAGTAGCACAGTTAATGCCCATGCATGGCAGAGGGGGTTCCTGGAGCCAGAGAATCTGCACTTGATTCAATAGACAGGGAAAAAATACCTTACCAATGTCACTAGGGAACTGGGAAAGTGGGAATGGTTGTAGTTGTGATAATCTACTTGGGAAGATGTCAGAGGTAGGCAGATACTGCAGCTCTTGCCATTCCTTGGTACTAATTCTAAGATAGGAGCTCTCCAGCATTCCCTTCAGGATGCAAGGTAGGATATCTTTTCAACACATCCTTTCAATTCCAAATCTTCCATGTGGTCACAGAAAACACCCAGAAAGCATCAAGTTTATTCTCTTATTCTGGAAAGCACTTCTGCCCTTCAGGTGGGAGATTCTGCTGGAGAATATTGGCATTTTTCAGAGGATATATGAACAACAAAAGATGACCTTAAAAGTTTTAATTCCACACCTTATTCTGCTCATATGAAAAATGGTAAAATGCTTGTCTTGGCAGAGCTCTGCATGGAGCCAACAGCTCTGGATCATGTTTGAATCTTCAGGATTTTGGTCCCATGAATATATGTGCTGAGCAAGTCCTCTCACACAACCCTTTATAATGATTCTCCCTGGTATCCTATAACAACACTAGGTGGATGATAATTAGCTTGAAAGGGGGAAAACTTATTGTAATCAGCTTGAATATATGAACATTCACTCCTAAAAAGAACTAATCCTATTTAAAGTGTATTGGATGCTTCACAGGGATTGCCTTTTCCCCCCTCCAGTTTAAAAATAAACAGGACAGAGGGAAAGCTGTGATGCCTCCACTAACTCTGAGTCTCTGCTTCATTCTATGAGAAACAAAAAGATGTCAAAGCAAGGCATAGTGAGCATGAAAGAACTCTATAATGCAAACTAAACCAGAGAACAAATTTCTCTTTCCTGTGTATGCCAGAATACCTGTACTGAGAAACTGAAATAAGGATACTGACTCCAAACAACCACAGACTGCAACAACATACAATAAACTTCGAGCATGGTATTAAAGTAGCACTAATTAAAAGAGGCCAGTTTTCTGCACACACAGAGCTGCCCTAAGTTACAATAAAATAGAAAGCTGAAAGACTTTACCGTTCAGCGGCGCTTGCACTGAGAGTTGTATCTTTAGGAAGAAAATCAGCACAGTAGCCACTCTGACTGCACTGAAGCTCTTGGCTGACATCTCAAGGAAAGACTTATAATATTCCAGCAGTTCACAGGTTTCTCTGCACTGAAGAAATTCCCCTGTAGACATGTGGCAAGTAGCAGAATGCACACATACAGAGCTCCTGCTAATGAGTTATTGCCCTCCTCTCCCCTTTTCACTCTTCTTGCTTTTAGGACTGCTTTTTATAAAGCTCCTGAGACTCAACTCAAAACAAATGATGTAATCAGACCTGCCTCTAGGTCACAACACCCTCAGAAGACTGATCATATCCCTCATTACCTCAGTTTTAGTGAGGTGCTCAGAGGGCAGACTCCAGCACTTAGAGAGGGAAATTAAACCTGGAACTTCAGAAACCCTTTAGCAGAGACACAAATGCTTTAAAAAGCTGTCCTCTTATGGGCCATACCACAGCAGAGTCTTTCTAGCCTATTTGAGTGTCTCCCTCAGCTCCCAGGTTTGGATCAGTCTGGTGTAGCATAATGGCCCACTGTGAGGACTGGAGGGAGAGGAAGAGAAGTGAGGCTCTGTGTGGGACTGGTAATAACTCAGAGGGACCATGGACACTTCCCATGAAAACTGTCCAAGAAAGTGTATATATTAAAATCCCTGAAATTAGAACTCAATATTTTTCTTTATGAAAAGGTGGGTTCTCTTTTCTCTTTTCTTTTTGTTATCTGTGGATGTAGAAGTCTTTAGTAGTCCATAGGAAAACAACAGTTTGCTAATGGAATAGACAGTAGTTTCTCTATGTTAAAAATAATAGTATTCCAAAGTGGTTGTTCTGAAATGTCTTTAAATCATTTCTATCTTATAAAAGAAAGGGATAATAAAAATGAAGTACAGTAACTTGCAGTTAAAGTAAAATTTCCTGATGATATACACAGTTAATTTCCATGTTTGCTCCTCAGTCTATTGAAACTTTTCTCATTTCATATGCTGTGTAAAAATAAGTGAATAAATAATCCTGGAAGAAGGAACTGTAACTCAGAACTCTCTAGCTCCAGGTGAGGGAGGGATTTTTTTTAAGCTGAAAGCTCTTGGAACCAGGAGAAGACATGAAGCAGGGAGGAGTGAGAATTCATGCAGAAACAGCCACAGAATCTAATGTTATGTTCAGGACATGGAGAGGGGTAAAGAGGAGCACAGGGTAAAAGTTAATGTCCTTTTCTGAAGGACTGAGGAATAAACTGTTAAACAGAGTGCACCATGGATAGCTGAGGAGCAGCAGGTGACATTGAAGAACTATTGGTTTTAGCTGAGTACATTGTGTTTTATAATTGTTATTAACTTCTTACTACATCTCAGTAACAGCTTTGTAGCATGTATTAGTATTGATTGGTCAAACTTGATTTTCAGCATCTTCACTTACCAACTACTTGCTCAATGTTATTAGGCTTGCTTATTTTTTCCTACCATCATTTCTGAGGTTAATAAAGGGAAAGGGGAGTTGACTGGGCTCACTTTTGCCTGGATCCCAGGTAAAGCACAATCCTGGTCTATGGCTGCAGTCCATCCCTAGCCCTGTCCTCCCAGTCCAGGTGGAATTGCTGCTGCAGGGAGCAGCAGCAAATAATTAATGTCTTGTAGCCTTTCAGAAAGCAGCTGTGGTTGAGTTCACTTCCTCTCTGGCATTTTGTAAACCTAGATTGTAATTCTGCTTGTTTTGGTTCAGCTAGATGTAATTAAGAGGAAGAGGGTGTCAGCTATTGAGAAAATTATTTTAACAAGACTTTTCAAGTGCCATTGTCCAAAAAAGAGGGTCACTGTCTCCTGTTTGTACAGAGAGGCCTGCTGAGTGTGTTGAACCATGTGAGCTCTCAGCACACAGTTGTTGCTGTTTGCAGGACCTTCCCTAACCTTCCCTAATGGAAGTTTGGAAATACAATTTTGTATGTTTCTGTAGAATACCTGATTTTTGTCATCAACCTTCACAGAACTGGCAACCTGTCTGCCAAGCTGCTGGGGCTGGTACCAACAGCTGGGAGTTGCCTCCTCTACAAAGAGGCCGTGCCATGTAGGAGGGTATGGACTGACCTGTCTTCCAAACTGCGTCTTCTTATCTCCTTCCTTCATCTCTTCTGCCAGTGTTCTTGAAAAGTTCCCCATGATGAAGTATGCTCTGATTCTCAGAATCCCCCTTGGATCTTTTTTGCATTTTCATCATCTACATCTCTCCCTCCCCAGTTTCTGCTATGGCAGAAGCCATAATTTGGCTTCACATCTGTGGGAGGAATTCCAGGCAGTGCTTTTGCTTTCAAGGCTAGCTGGATAGAAAGCTCTTTGCTTCTAAAATATAATCCCTAAAAAAGAAATAAAAGCTCCCTGACAGTTGTCTGCCTGTGTTCTGCACAAACTTCTTAGGGCTTGCTATTTTATTCTAGGTTTAAGAAATTTGAGGTTAATAGCAATTAGTCTTCATCTCAGCACCAGGCCAAGGCAGGGACAGAGCAGGGTTTTTATAGGCTGGGGGGGCTCAAGGGAAGTAGCAGATTTGGGTCCCCATTGTGAAAGGTCAGGGTGAATTCTGTGGTGTGGGTTTATCAATCTTTAACTCACACTGTCTCCTGCTGCCAAGGCAGCAGCAATGCACAGACTAATGTGACAGTGGGAAGTGTACAGGACAAGTCTAAGGCAAATGGAGGAGAGGAGGCATTCTCTTCAGAGAGCACTGAAGAGTGAAAACTGGGGTTTTCACTTGCAGATTTGTGATGATTTGCCTAACCACCCTCACTCCCTCTTCCTGGTGTGTTTAGCTCCGAAAAGGAGGCTGTAATAAAACAGAAAATAAGGTTCTGATGTGAGCAGTGTCAAGGGTCAGAGTAGATGCTGATACTGCATCTCTTCAAAAACATTTTAGCAAACATAGGGATAAGTGGCCGTAACTAACAGCCTGTGGAGCCCCTTGCATACTGCAAACAGAAAGCAAAGGCCAATTGGATCCAAAGACAGCAATCATCTCCCTGCAGTCACTGGAATCAGTCTGGGTCACAAGGCCTTCTAGTGGGGCCTCACCCACAGCCCAGTTAGTGGGGCTGGCCATGCTGGGGCCCAGTGAGAGTGGCTGCATGCACGGGTGGCTGCACACCAATCACCCAGCCCCAGGGAACCTGCTGCCTGTGAGCACAAAGTGTAACCCCAGAGCTGGCTGAAGAAGGGCACAGCACTGACAGGCAGAGGGAGTGTAGCTGTGTCAGGAACCCTCACAGTGCTGGAGGAGCCTTAGGTGTCAGGCACTTTGCAGCACTGACACAAGACAGAAGCCTTTAAATTCAGCCCTGCTTTCACATTTGAACAGTGCTGGAATATAAACCTTGATGTCTGTGTTTGAAATGTTAGTGCACACTGCCATTAAGTCCACTCTCTTGGAGTCTCCAGTTGTGCAGATAAAACATATTGTTCAGAGCATCAGTATTTGTTGTCTTTTTTTGACACTGTTTTCCAAGAAAAGACACTCTATTGTTAAAGTGGCCATTTCCAGACTGCAGGTATTTATGAGTGGCATTTGTGTTGCAGGCAAGTTCCTTGTTTCCTTGACATGATCTTCCTGCAGGCCTTTCAGTCTCTCAAAATTCCAGTGCAAGGCAGGAAATTGTTCCTTATCCTTGCTTATATCATATCTACCCTGCTGAAAGATCACATACTTACAGTCAGTTGTTTGACAAGCAGATGAAGCTGAGAATAAATAATCCTTCTAAGTATTCCCTGTCTGCCTTTCACAGCCAAACCTTAGCACTAGGAATGCCTTCCTGCAACCCTGTGCACAGGTAAGGTGAAAACCACAGGACCCTCCTGCACCAGCTGGCTCCAGCTGCAGGGCTGGTCACAAGTGCCACAGGTGATCCAAGACTGGCAGAAGCAATTTGTGACAGCCAAGTTCTTTTTTATGAACACGCAGACAGCTGCCAAACCACTTGTTACATTTTAATGAGCAGATCAGATGTACAAAATAATAGGCTGAGGGTCACTAAAGGGTGAGGGAAGGAGGGAAACAGCAGAATTCGGAGATGCAACAACAGATGGAAATGCTGGACTGTCTCATCTGGCTGTCCCAGTTCTGCCTTCCTTCCTAGAGTGGACACCTGCACCTCACTTACCTTTGGCTCTCTAAGGAGCTGGAGGTGTTTGTGGTCTGTTAAATTCAGGGGGCACTCACCCAAACCCTGGATCTACACATCTCACTTTAGGAGCTGAATTCTGGTCTTGGTAGGTGAGGACCAACCAGGCAGGAGCTGGAGACACAGGAGCAGCCACGGGAGACTTCTCTTGAAAATCCACAGCTTTCTCTGGCAAGATGATGGGTCTGTTTTCTGCCTTCTAAGCTTAAGCACCACAGTGTTTGCTGTTGCACTTTTGTGGCTTGAATCTCACGGCTTCATGTGGCCACAGATCTGGGTGTGCAGTCACACTTACATAAAGATGAAACCCAGAGGCAGTCCAGTCTCAGAAATTCATTTTGAGTCTTGCAACTCCTTTTGAGCCTTGCTTTGCAGTGACAAACCATTAGCCTGCAGGAACAACAATGTTCTGCACTGTTCCAAAACTTGGGCCTTGCTGACATCAGGAGACTCTTCAAAAGGCATTCAGAAAGTAGGAACTGAGGATGTGTGCTGGTTTTGGTTGGGATAGAGTCAGTTTTCTTCACAGTAGCTACTCCAGGGCTGTGTTTTGGGTTTGTGCTGAAAGCAGTGCTGGTAACACAGGGATGTTTCAGGTACTGCTGAGCAGGGATGAGGGGACATTCAGAGGGGAGGTGTTTGTCTTCCCAAATGACGTGTGATGGAGCCCTGCTTTCCTGGGAATGGCTCGTAGTAAATGAATTCCTTGTTTTGCTTTGATGCAAGTGCAGCTTTTGCACAACTTATTAAACCCTCTTGATCTCAACCCTTGAGTTTTTTCACTTTTTTTTCTGATTTTTTTCCCCCATCCCAGCTGGGAGGTGGGAGATGTGTGTGAGCAAGTGGCTGTGCCATACTTGTTGGCTGGGGTTAAACCACAGCAGAATAGCTGTAAGTTCATCCTTGGAAATTAGTATTTAGTCTTCTTGGCTGTAGAAATAGGACTTGCACCTTAGGAATAACTAGGTGAGGACAAAGAGATCCCAGAAAACATGTG